TCTAGACTAATGACACGCTGGATTATCCTGACTCTGGACTAATGGCACTCTGGACTATCTAGACTCTAGACTAATGACACGCTGGATTATCCTGACTCTGGACTAATGGCACTCTGGACTATCTAGACTCTAGACTAATGACACGCTGGATTATCCTGACTCTGGACTAATGGCACTCTGGACTATCTTGACTCTGGACTAATGACACTCTGGATTATCTTGACCCTGGAATAATGACACTCTGGATTAATGACACTGGACTAAAAAACTGGACTAATGACACTCTGGATAATCTTGACTCTGGAATAGTGACACTCTGGAGTAATAAAACTGGACTAAAGAAACTCTGGACTATCTTGACTCTAGACTAATGACACTCTGGATTATCCTGACTCTGGACTAATGGCACGCTGGATTATCCTGACTCTGGACTAATGGCACTCTGGACTATCTAGACTCTAGACTAATGACACGCTGGATTATCCTGACTCTGGATTAATGACACTCTGGATTATCTTGACTCTGGAATAATGACACTGGACTAAAAAACTGGACTAATGACACTCTGGATAATCTTGACTCTGGAATAGTGACACTCTGGAGTAATAAAACTGGACTAAAGAAACTCTGGACTATCTTGACTCTAGACTAATGACGACTCTGGACTAATGGCACTCTGGACTATCTTGACTCTAGACTAATGACACTCTGGATTATCCTGACTCTGGACTAATGGCACTCTGGACTATCTTGACTCTGGACTAATGACACTCTGGATTATCTTGACTCTGGACTAATGACACTGGATTATCTTGACTCTAGACTAATGACACTGGATTATCTTGACTCTAGACTAGTGACACTGAATTACCTTGACTCTAGACTAATGAACTTCTGGATTATCTTGACTCTGGACTAATGACACTGGATTATCTTGACTCTAGACTAATGAACTTCTGGATTATCTTGACTCTGGACTAATGACACTGGATTATCTTGACTCTGGACTAATGACACTCTGGATTATCTTGACTCTAGACTAATGACACTCTGGATTATCTTGTTTCTGTACTATCTTGACTCTGGACTATGTTGACTCTGGACTATGTTGACTCTGGACTATCTTGACTCTGGACTATGTTGACTCTGGACTATCTTGTTTCTGGACTATCTTGANGAGCTTAAAGACCCACGTCAGTGTTTATAAGGAAATAGGTGGAGCTTAAAGACCCACGTCAGTGCATATAAGGAAATGGGTGGAGCTTAAAGACCCACGTCGATGTGTACAGAGGAGTGGGTGGAGCTTAAAGGACTACAACTCTGTTTAGGGGAATGGGTGGAGCTTAAAGGACTACAACTCTGTTTAGGGGAATGGGTGGAGCTTAAAGACCCACGTTGGTGTGTATAAGGAAATGGGTGGAGCTTAAAGACCCACATTGGTGTGTATAAGGAAATGGGTGGAGCTTAAAGACCTACAACAGTGTTTTGGGGAGAGGGTGGGGCTTAAAGACCCACGTCGATGTGTACAGAGGAGTGGGTGGAGCTTAAAGGACTACAACTCTGTGTTTAGGGGAATAGGTGGAGCTTAAAGGACTACAACTCTGTGTTTAGGGGAATAGGTGGAGCTTAAAGGACTACAACTGTGTTTAGGGGAGTGGGTGGAGCTTAAAGGACTACAGCTCTGTGTTTAGGGGAATGGGTGGAGCTTAAAGGCTCACCTCATAAAAGAGCAGTTTCAGTAAACCGGGTTCATATAAACAGTCTGTGGTTCTGACTTCCTGATGGGTCTCCAAAGGTACTGGGTCGATAGAACCCGGTGTCTCGTTACCTCCGGTCCATTACCAGCCGACCCGTCTTCAGCCTCAGACCTTTTATCCTGACTGGTATCGATCCGCTCTGAGTTCTTAATGCAGCAGAGACCGCTTCATTCACCATCTGTGTGTGTGTGTGTGTGTGTGTGTGTGTGTGTGTGTGTGTAACACAACATGATTACTTAAAGGAAGCAGCATCAAATATTTTCAGAAAATCCTGATGTTTATCATTTTATTCCATGTTAGATCTGATCTCCGAAGCTGAAGAGTTGATTTTATTTTATTCTATATTATTTTATTTTTATTTTATTTTTATTAAATTTAAATTTATTTTTAAATTGTTTTTATTTTATTTTATGTTATTTATGACGTTTCTCTGAGGTTCTGAGACAGATGAGCCCAGTTAGACTGATGATTGTATATTTAGTCCAATCATCAGTTCTGGGTCAGAACCTGAACCCATCAGGTGTTCTCAGTTTGGAGCTGTAGAACTGGGCTTCAGGTCTGTTTCTGTACAGTCCTGCTGGTTCTGGACCCGCAGCTCATGAACCTGTAATCCGAGTCCTGCTGGTCCGGTGAACCGGGTCCATCTTTATTCAGCAGCAGAACCCATCAGGCTGAAACAAACAGGTTCTGGTGAAGGTTCTGACCCGGGTAGGAGGTCACTTTTTAAAACATGGATGTTTTGGTTCTGTGGTTCTGACCCAGTTCTTGGGTCAGAGTAGTTTCCTCTCAACGTTCTGTTTCTTTAAACTCTGAGTGTTTTCGGTAGAGACCTGGAGCAGGTTCTGGTCCTCATTGGACCTCAGACTGACCCAGCGACCCGTGTCGGTTCTGGTGTCTCCTGTCTGCTGCTGTAAATAAGAAATGTGTCATCAGATCCAGCAGAACCGGGCCGGGATGATAAATTCATGAGTTAACGGATCGTCTTCAGGTTCTGCAGAGGAAACCTCATCAGTTCCTCCTTCACCTTTGAGGTGGGGTTGTGCTGGTTCTGACCCGGTCCCTGTCCCGTCCTGCAGTACTCGTCGGCGGGCTGCCTGCTGTCGCTGCACCACACGGAGAAGCCGGACCACGAGGAGGTGTGTGAGTTCAGACCCTACACCTGCCCCTGCCCCGGCGCCTCCTGCAAGTGGCAGGGCTCGCTGGACGCCGTCATGCCCCACCTGATGCACGCCCACAAGTCCATCACCACGCTGCAGGTCAGAACCAGAACCACTGACACCATCCCACCATGGCCCTGCACAGGCTTCAAGATTGTTTTTACCCGCCTGAAACAAAATGTTTAAATATGTTAATAAATGATAGTTAGAATAAACGACCTTATAAAACAATAAAAGTAACAGTTAACGAGTTTTACCTGCMCAGTCAGGTCCCTGCAGGTCCTGCTCAGAGCCCAGCTCAGACCTGGACCTGGTTTTGTACTTGTTGTGTGTTGTGTGTCCGCAGGGCGAGGACATCGTGTTCCTGGCCACGGACATCAACCTGCCCGGCGCCGTGGACTGGGTCATGATGCAGTCCTGCTTCAGCCACCACTTCATGCTGGTCCTGGAGAAGCAGGAGAAGTACGAGGGCCACCAGCAGTTCTTCGCCGTCGTCCTCCTCATCGGCACCAGGAAGCAGGCCGAGAACTTCGCCTACCGGCTGGAGCTGAACGGCAGCCGGCGCCGCCTCACCTGGGAGGCCACGCCCCGCTCCATCCACGACGGCGTGGCGGCGGCCATCGTCAACAGCGACTGCCTGGTGTTCGACACGTCCATCGCTCACCTGTTCGCCGACAACGGCAACCTGGGCATCAACGTCACCATCTCCATGTGCTGAGGACCTGGACCYGGTCTGCCCAGACCCGGGTCAGCGGGCCGGCCCAGACCCGGGACAGGTCTGAGGAGGCTGTGGCTCTGGAGAAGCCTTTTCTCAGTGACTTCCTGTGAGCTCAGCTGCAGCCGTTTCACCAGCAGAGTCCTCGTTAAAACCAGAACCTGAAGTTCTGGACCCGGACCTTGGAGTCCAGGTCCTGTCTCTGTACCGGGTCGGTCCAGCAGGCAGGAAGAAGTAAAGAACTGCTTTCAAAGATGAGCAGGAAGTTGTTGTTTTGTAGAATCAGAAGGTTAAACAGTTAATGAGCAGGAGGCCCGGCTGCTCTCTGAGCGGAGATCAGGTCTGAAATATTKGGATTAAAAAAGGGCTGAAGAAGAAGAATCGAACTGATCCTCATTTTATTTCTTTGTTTACAGGTAAAAGTTCACTTTATTTAAAATCTYTTGTTCCAGAACTTTTATAAGTTTTTAACTCTTTGAGGAACTAAATCTTCCAGAAGCTTTACTGCAGAGTGGAAAAACAGAGAATTCAGATTAGAAATAAGAGTTTAGCTTCGGTCGTTTCTTTATTTTTCTATCAAGAAGAGTAAAAGTTCCTCAAAYATCCAGCAGGGGGCACCTTCAGTTAAGTCAGGTAAAGTGGAGCGTCTCGTCTGACAGGAGGGTTGTCGGTTCAGATCCTGACTCACCTGTTTAAACCCACAGACACCTGGGACTGGACTCACAGTTTATACAAAAAAAAACATTTAAAATATTTACATCTATAAGTTTTTTTTGTCTGAGTTTAAAACAAACTGTTTCATCCTGAAGTTTAATTTATTTAAAGGCTAGGTGTTAGCRTGTTAGCACCAGAACGCTAACGCCTGATTAATTTTACTTCTCTTTACGTTAAAAAAACTCATCATTATAAAGTGTTTTATTATTTTCTCCATGAACAGAAGTATTTTAGCTCAGTTAGCCTGTTAGCCTCTCTGCTGTAACTTTTACAAACCTTTACCTCATTTTTTAACCTTTGGCCACGTTAAGTTTTAATGTTTGACTTTCTAACACGGTATAAATAAATAAATAAAAACGTTTTTATTGCTCGATCACAACTGATTGTAACTTTTGGGATCATTTCTACAGAAACACGCAGCAATAAGAAATATTTATTTGCAGTTTTTACTAAATGTTTAWAGTTTGTTGATAAAATAAACTGTTTTCTACGACTGTTTGTTTGTTTCAGTGATTTAAACTCGGATCAGTTGATGTCAGCAGTGCAACCTGAGCAGGTTTTTGTTGYAACAGTTCTGTGATAATAAAGTTTATTTTGATGTTTGTCCTTTTCTGACGTAAAATCAGAGAAACTTCAACATTTAAACTGAAAATGTAACATTTTATTATAAAACAAACAAAAACAGCTGGATAGGTTTTAATATGAAGTTATTTGTATTTAAATGTTTGTTTCCAGCTGTCAGCAGCTGTAATAACAGCTGCTGACAGCAGGGGGCGCTGCTCTGCTGCTGCCGACAGCAGGGGGCGCTGCTCTGCTGCTGCTGACAGCAGGGGGCGCTGCTCTGCTGCTGCTGACAGCAGGGGGCGCTGCTCTGCTGCTGCTGACAGCAGGGGGCGCTGCTCTGCTCAGTTTTATTTGTTTCTAGTTGAACAAAAACAAATCAGTTTCGGAGTTATTAAAAACAATGACATCATCTTATCTTCTGTCTCCATCCCYCTCTCTTCTCCTCTCACTGTCTCTGTCCGTCTCTCGTCTTCTGTCTCTTCTTCTGTCCACGTCTCTACTGTCTCTGTCCGTCTCCCGTCTCCTGTCGTCTCTTCTTCTGTCCTCTCTGTCCACGTCTCTCTCACGGTTCCTCCTCCTGTCTTCGTCTCTGTCCGTCCCCCTCCATCTCTCCTCTTCCTTGGTCTTCTGTCCGACGGAGTGCCCCCCTGACGGCGCCCCCTTGTGGTCGTACTTGTCGTAGGCAACGTCCTGCTTCTCCTCTTTGACTCTGATGGGGGGAGGAGCTCGAGGAGGTGAAGGAGAGGAAGAGGAGGCTCTGCTCTTCTCCTTTTTCTTCTTCTTCTCTTTCTTCTTCTTCTTCTCTTTCTTATCTGAGACGGAGAAGAAACGGTGAGATCCTTCACGTCCTGGTCTTAAATCAGGAGACGCTCAGACAGGAAGTGACCTCACCTTTTTTGAGCTTCTTCACAGGTACGACGTGGCGCTCCTCTTCCTCGGAGGACAGGACAGCAGCGTCTGGAGCTTTAGGAGCGCAGCCCTCGTCCCTCAGACGTTTGGTCACGTCATCGATGTCCTCGTGGTCTTTGGGAGGACGGTAATTCTTCACGTGATCGACGCGAATGGTCCGACCTTTAATCTGAAACAGGAAGCAGATTAGAAATATACGTGTACTTCCTGCAGGGGCGGAGCTAACCTGTGCTTCCTGCTCACCTTGATGCCGTTGAAGTTGTCCACAGCCAGGACGGTGCTCCTCTGGTCCTCGTAGCAGACGAAGCAGAAGCCTTTGGACTTCCCCGTCTTCTTGTCTCGCACCAGGTTGATGTTGACGATCTCTCCGTACCTGTCGGGAGAACATCTACGGTCATCCTCACGGTTTCTAAGCACAGGTGAGCAGGGGYGGAGCACAGGTACGTACTGAGAGAAGACACAGATCAGGTCTCCTTCGGTCAGCTCGTAGGGAAATCCTCCTGCAGGAAACAAAACTTCAGGTTTTATTTAACATTTATTGTTACATAAAGTTTATAACATGTCCAGTTTCTCCTCAAAACAAATTAAGTTTCTTTTATTTTCCTCATGACGTCACTAATTAATCTAATCAGGTGTTTTATATCAAACAGGACCAGACTGGTGTTCTCTTTAAATGTGTAAAAACAGGCCCTCCTCACCCACGAASACCCAGGCGCTGTCCCGGTACTCGGTGTGCCACGACACGGCCTCGTTGATGCCGAGGTCGGCCTCGCGCTCGTTCAGCTCGTTAATCAGCTTCACCTTCGTTAACGGACTGAAAACACGAGCAGTGAACACCGTTAGCAGACAGCTAGCGCTAGCTAACAGGTTAGCATTAGCTCCTGGATTTATTAAGATGGGGGAATTAAAAATATAATGTCCTAAAGGAAAACAAAGTAAACAAGCATTTCAAATAATACTTACTTCATTGTTAGCTAAATTAACCAGACACCGATGAGAAAAGCCTCGGTGTGTTGACAAACTACTTCCGGATGTATTTCTACAAACTACTTCCGGTTGTGTTTCCGCCTCTGCCGTCTACAGACCGGAAGTCTGAACAACAAGCAGGTAAAGGTTTAAAATTGGTCCGATTTTCTTTAARAATTAAATAAAACAACTGTATTAACACACAGAAGTGTTTTATTAATTTTTGTAGCTTGTAAATATTTAAGGTTATTGTAAAAAATGCTAAAAAGTGTATTTCTCCACCCGAACAACAGGCGGCGCTGTGATGCTAACAGCTAGYTGTTTGACAACATCTCATCCGCTAACAGCTAAACTCAAACATAAAACCTGTTTTCTCTTTAAGCTCTTGCTACTTGGAAWAACGACTTTATCTGTTTTATTTGCTACAGACTAACAGTTTGTTACGAAGTGAAGTAATGTAAAATATTCAAGTATGTTTCAGCTTCCTGTTAGCAGTTAGCCTTCTAGCTTAAATTTCCTCATATTTCTGTCATAAAACAGCTGATAAATAAAATCTGTTCCTGTTTGACTCCATCTYCAGAGGGTGAGTAAAATGTTTCTGAAGTTTGTCACAGATAAATTAAAAACGTCCTGAAACCCAGATCTGAATCATGTGCTGAACCTGTTTACGGTTTTTATTAATTTAAGTAATTTTKTGTATACTTCAGCTCAGTATCGTGATAGAAACATGTTGAAGATGTTATAGGAACTGTATGAAATGGGGGGGAAAATCGGCATACAATGAGCAGGGTTTGATTGAACATGTGTGTTTTTATTAATTATTATAAAGATAAATTTAGCTGCTCTAATGGAGCTGGTTCAGTGTGAACTGGGTCAAGCTATAGTTGTTCTTCATGGTTGTAAAAAAAGGTTTGCTGCCTGTTTATTTCTGCCTTCTTTAGTCCAGATGCTGAATAAAACCCAGAAGATCAGCCTGTAAAGATCCAGCTGAGATTTGTTGAGTTTATCCTCTGTCCCAGGAAGATGATCTGTCAGGTCTTCATCCTGTCCTCGAAGGGCGATCGCCTCATCTACAAGGACTGTATCCTTTAAATCCCACTGATCCGTCTGCAGGTTCAGGACTCCGGTTTACCTGTTGTGTGTTCTGGACTTAATCGGACCTTCAGACCGCGGCGAGGCAGGAAATGATGTCATCGACGTTTTCTACGAGAAGGTGACGGCGCTGACTGGAGACCAGCCTCCGGTTGTCATGGTGAGGCAGCAGCGTTGATGTGAACCAGTGTTTCTCTGCAACTTCTCTTCATTTTAGTTTTTTATCAGTGTTTTATTTAAAATACTTCACTTTAACAACTTTATTTAAAAAAACAAAACATTTAGTTTGAACACTTCTGTTCTTGTTTCACAGGGTTTTAAATAAAAGTTAATTTTTTTCCCGCAGACTCACAAAGATCTGCACTTCCTCCACGTCAGGCAGGGGGGGCTCTACTGGGTCGCCACCACCACCGCCGACTCCTCGCCGTTCCTCATCATCGAGTTCCTGAACAGGTTGGTTTCAGTCCTGAACCCGCCCTGACCCGTTSGTGGCCCGGCCCGACCCGATCAGAACCGCTCTGTGTTCCAGGCTGACGGCTCTGGTCAAAGATTACTGCGGCAGCATCTCAGAGAAGTCGGTCCAGATGAACTTCGCTCTGATCTACGAGCTGCTGGACGAGGTTCTGGTGAGGACTCTGTGGACCAGCACCACCAGCCGGGTCTTTTTACAGGTTTACTGTCCCCGGGTCTGCAGTCCTGCAGGGTTTAGATGTTGACCAGGTCTGACCAGGTGACGGAAACAACTAGAACCTGCAGGAGGCTGGACCCGCGTCCTGGAACTGAAGGTCTGACCTGAACTATCTGTCCCTCAGGACTACGGTTACATCCAGACCACGTCCTCAGAAGTCCTGAAGAACTTCATCCAGACTGAAGCGGTTTCGTCTCGACCCTTCAGCCTGTTTGACCTCAGTAACGTGGGTCTGGTACGTCTCACTGTCACCAGGTGTTCTGTTCACCTGCAGCGTCACTCTCACTTCCTGTTTGTTTGTTTGTTTGTTTGTTTGTTTGTTTGTTTGTAGTTTGGAGCAGAAACACAACAGAGTAAAGTAGCTCCGAGTTCTGCAGCCACCAGACCGATCCAGTCCAGCAGGGACCAGGTAAACCTGACCCAGGAGGTCAGAAACCTGTTTTTAGTTTATTTCTGAATAAAATCAGAGTTGTTTGTGTTGATCTGATGTAAACAAAGTGTTTGTTTTATTTCCAGTCAACAGTTTGTGAGTTTAAATGTGTGAAAACCTGAACTGAAGTTTAAAATCTTAGAATTATCTGAAACTTTGAGTTTTGTTCTGYGTTTCAGTTTAGAATCTCTGATTTGTTCCAGTAAATAGTCTGATCCCAGCMGGTCGGTACACTTCCTGAAACCAAACCTTTGTCTTTCAGGGCGGGAAAAGTGAGATCTTTGTGGACGTGGTTGAACGGATGTCGGTCGTTATCGGCTCTAACGTGAGTTTCATCTTTAGACAATAAGAGTTTAAAGAAGCCTCTGAGCTGAGAGGAAACATGAAACCAGAACCACCAGAACCACCAGAACCATCAGAACCATCAGAACCATCAGAACCATCAGTTATTACTCAGCCTGAGCTCGGCTCCGCCCACTCCTCTAAACACAAACACTTCCAGTCATTAGCTGGGGCCGACCCGTTTCCTGAAAGAACCCGAGTGTTGATGGTCCATCAGAACTCAGAGGACCTGCTGACATCGGTTCTGTCAGGTTGAATGTTTCACCTGGTCTGAGGCTGACAGGAAGTGTTGGAGCACACCTGTCCACAGYAAACCCATCAGAACCGTCTGCTTTCTGCTGCAGGGGGTTCTGATGAAGACTGACGTGGAAGGAGAGATCAGAGTCAAGTGCTACATGGCCAGCTGCTNATCACACACACCTGAGACGGGTAGGTGCGCACCTGAGACGGGTAGGTGCGCACCTGAGACGGGGAGGTGCGCACCTGAGACGGGTAGGTGCTCACCTGAGACGGGGAGGTGCGCACCTGAGACGGGTAGGTAGGTGCGCACCTGAGACGGGTAGGTAGGTGCGCACCTGAGACGGGTAGGTAGGTGCGCACCTGAGACAGGTGTGCACCTGAGAGACTCACTTCCTGTCTGCTTCTGACCTGCAGAGATGAGGATCGGCCTGAACGAAGAGTTCAGCATCGGGAAGTCCCAGCTCCGAGGTGAACGCTCACTTCCTGCTTCCTGTTGTTTGTTGTGATCGGGTCTGTTTGTTTGTTTGTTTATTTGTTYGTTTGTTGTTGTGCTCAGGGTACGGAGCAGCTGTTCGGGTGGATGAGTGCAGCTTCCATCAGTCGGTGCGACTGGATGAGTTCGACAGCCATCGTATTCTCCGGCTCTGCCCGAGTCAGGGAGAGGTGAGTGGACCTGCCTCGGTTCTGACTCCTCCTCCTCCTCTTGTTGTTGTTGTTGTTGTTATATTGTTGTTGTTGTTGTTGCAGCAAACAGTGATGACGTACCAGCTGAGTGACGACCTGCCGTCTTCTCCTCCGTTCCGTCTGTTTCCTTCCATTGAGAGAGACGCTGCAGGGAGGTAAAGGCCTGAAACAAACAGCTGAGCCGTCCTCAGAACCAGAACCAGAACCAGCTGTAGTTCAGAGTCTGACCACCAGGGGGCAGCAGACGTGAGGATTAATTAAACCAGAATTATTAAAGCTCGGGTAATGGAGGACATGGAGACAGAGCAGATGTGTTGAAGCTGAAGATATAAACGAGTTTAACTGTTGGTTCAGAACCTCAGTGGGCGGGCCCAGGCCCAGGCCCGGTTCAGTCCACAGGAGAAGCCAGCTGGTGTTGTGGTTCTGATGCAGTTCTTCTTCTCCTGCAGGCTGCTGATGTACCTGAAGCTGCGCTGTGACCTGCCTCCAAAGAGGTCAGTTTAAAATCCAACAGAACCAGAACCTGCAGAGTTCTGTTCAGAGCTGGTGTCTGGATCAGGGCCTGAAACAGTGATGATGATGATGATGATGATGATGATGATGTAATTGTGTTCTTTGCAGCGCGGCCATCAACCTGTGTGCCTCGGTGCCGGTTCCTAAAGGTTCAGTCAGGTGAGACGCTCCCATTCAAATGTTGCTGCTCTGTTTGTTATGGAAACGAGCCCGACCCGGGTCAGGGTTCTGATTTGAATGTGATCCTGGAGCCACAGAGACACACAGCTGAGGACCAGAGACGTTCAGGAGGATCTATGAAAGGATGAACCTKTTGGTGGAGGCTTATTTTAACAGAWATGAGGATTTACTCTTGGTTACCACCTCACCAAATATCACCTYAATATGGCTAAAAATGGCCGAGTTATGGTAGCTTATTCCTTTTAGCTCTGGCGGCCATTTTGGATTTTTATTTAGCGTTCAGAATATATCAAAGCTTGTTCTGCTGTTATTCCAGTTTTCATCTCTGTTAGTCTTAAAGTAGGTTAATTGGAGCTTTTTCTTTAAATTAGCATTAGCAGTTAGCTTAAACTTGTGCTTAGCATTCAGGATGTGTTGTGGCTCAGTGCTTCATGGTGAGTGGAAACACCTGWAGAAGTAACGTCGTTTTGATGTAACCTCTGTTCAGGCTGTACACACAGATCCTGATGAGCTGGATAATATCAGCTGCTGCCATTTGACTCGTTTAAATCTAGTTTCAAACAAACAGACGGTGGAGTTGACCCTGATGACCTTTGACCTCTGACGTCACCTGTAATCTGTGAGCTTCAGACCAGCAGGTCTGTCTCCTGTCCTCTGGACCTTAAAGGRCCTGTGACATCAMATTTTTGTAATTCATATKAATGCATTTTTGGAAAGAGGACATTGATAWAACATTGCAAAATAAATTTCATGTTGCTGAGATGAACAGTTGTTGAGATATTTGCCTGTGAAGTAACAGGAAGTGATGTCASAGGGGAGYGTCTGCATGTAAACAGAGCGGTGCTACAACYCAGACTGTAGAGAAGAATCTGATGTTTCTATCAGAGAGATGAAGAGTTCAAATAATGTTGTTTCAATAAACAAAAACAAGAGTTTTCTTTGTTACAGAGTTCCCCTTTGATGTCACTTCCTGTTTCTGATGTCACTTCCTGTTTCACTTTGGCTGAGCTAAATTCAAAAGAAAATATGCCAGTTATGGAACAAAATGGGTTAAATCGTGTGTTTTATTCCAASTCTGATGGTCTCATGTTAGTTTGAATGGTTCTACAGTTTTGTAGGAACTGACCTGGGTCCATTATGGAGTCAACTGTGTCTGAAAGCCCTGGTTTTGGTTCCAGGACCACATGACTCCTGGTGTGTGCGTGGGTTCTGATGAAACGCTGTGTGTCTTTGGTTCAGTTTGTCCCAGGAGCTCAGCAGTCCGGATCAGAGCGCCGAGCTGAGGCTGCAGAGCAGATCCGTGGTCTGGCAGATCCCTCGCTTCACCGGAGGAACTCAGCTGTCCGCTCTGTTCAAGGTGCTCCCAAAGACCTAGACCAGATCCTGATACCAGCATGGCCCTTCAGTGTTYACCTAACAGCTTCCTGTGGTTCCTGTCCTCAGCTGGAAGTCCCTGGTCTCAGCTCGGCCTCCATGTTGGAGGTGGGTCCGGTGGGTTTGAGCTTCGAGCTGCCCAAGTATACGGCCACGGGACTACAGGTCCGCTTCCTGCGCCTGTCCCCGATCCAGCCCAGCCCGTCTCAGCGCTGGGTCCGGTACGTGACCCACTCAGACTCCTACATCATCCGGATCTGAGCCCGGATCAGCAGGAAGCAGCCAGGTGAGAACTGGTTACAACTACATTACCTGTCAAAGTACAGAAGCATTAACAGTATAAACATTGGTACAGTTAGCTTTAGCATTAGCAGTATTAACTTTGGTACAGTTAGCTTTAGCATTAGAAACATTAGCATTAGTAGTTAGTTTTAGCAGTGTTAGCTTTAGCATTAGAAACATCAGCGTTAGTAGTTAGTTTTAGCAGTGTTAGCTTTAGCATTAGAAACATTAGCATTAGTAGAGTTAGCTTTAGCAGTGTTAGCTTTAGTATTAGAAACATTAACATTAGTAGTTAGTTTTAGCAGTGTTAGCTTTAGCATTAGAAACATTAACATTAGTAGTTAGTTTTAGCAGTGTTAGGTTTAGCATTAGAAACATTAGCATTAGTAGTTAGTTTTAGCAGTGTTAGCTTTAGCATTAGAAACATTAGCATCAGTAGAGTTAGCTTCAGCAGAATTAACTGAAGACGTTTTGCTCTATAAACAGTTAAAGTAACATATGATGCAGGTGAACAAAGGTAAAATAAACCAGTATAAATGCTGAGTCAGCGTTCACACAGTAAGTTCTGTATGTGGTGTTTCCTGCCTCAGCCTGTAAACAAACATGTCTGATCCACACGTGATGCTGTTGTTGTTTAAAAAGCTCTGCAGGGAGGAAGCTCCAGGAGGACCAGCCTCTGGGACCGGGCCGCTGTTTGTGCTGACTCAGGCTCTGACTCGTCTCCACTTCTCCTTTAGAGCCGCTGCCTGCAGATGATTCACTCCGGCCTTTTATCCTCCATGAAAAGCAGTTTAACCTTGGGAAGGAGGAGATTAAACGCTTCACCCTTTTCCTGCGGTGGTCTCACAGGAAGGAGGAGCCGCTGATGAAGAGGACGGACAGGCCGAAGATCTGACAGGAAGTGGTGGAGGGACCGCAGTCCGACGGGTCACACAGATACTGAGCGTGCTCAGCGCTCCACTTCCTGTTTTAAACTGGACAAACTCATGACTCTGTCACTTTGAGGTCAGAGGTCACCGCCTGCTGTTGAACGTGTCACATGTTTTTCCATCACGTGACGCTGGTGAAGAAACAACCATGTTTTATCTGAGTGTGGRAAATAAAGACGTTTAACGCCTGATTAACGATCAATAATTAATAATCTGTTAGCTTCAGCAGAAATGTCTTCATCGTGTCCTCCAGGGGTCAATCTGCAGGTGTCCACAGCTGTGAGGTGTTCCTGCAGCTGCYAACATCTGCTTCCAGAGGAAGGAGCAGGTTGTTTACACTTTAAAACCATCACCTATTCTATGTGTGTTAAAGGTTTTATCTACTTGTTGATGTTTACTTTGTGAAGACAAACTGTAGTCATAAAAACCCAAAACTGGAAATAAAAACTAAAACCAGCACAATTACAAACTCCATGTGGTGTAGTGTTGTCTCAAAGCCTTCAGTGGAGCTGCAGCCRACCAACCAATCATTTTAAACTTCAACAGAGGCCACGCCTCCTGCAAGAGTTGCTTCTCTGTGGTTATTTTTTTTTATTTTATGTCATTAGTTTTAATAAATGTGATTTTGGTCTGTGAGAGAAAACTGGAGTACCTGGAGAAAACCCACTCATGCACAGGCAGAACATGTAAACAGAACCTAGAAAGTTGATCTAGAACCTTCTTCCTTATGTTGCTCTACCAACTGTGCCACTGTACGGCCTAATTTTATATTTTTATATGATTATTTAAAATATTTAATTAAAAATATATATGAATATAACCTGAGAACCTCCATCTTTATTTGAGAACATTTTGAGGAGCTACTTTTTAATTTATTTTTTTCACTTTAAATAAACTATAAATGATTGTTTTTAACTCTAAGTTGTTAAAAAAATCAATGTTTTTATATTTATGAGGTTCTATTCCTAAATAGTTAGGGGAATTGAAAGGATAAAACTGGGGGGGCATGGCGCCCCTGCTCATGGATCAGACCAGTGTCCTCAGTAGTGTGGTAAACCTGCAGCAGAGMGCTCGGGTCCTCACAGAGACAGTAACCCTCTCTCACACACACAGATCGTGTCTTTGCGGAAGCTCGGAGGAGCCGAGGCGGCGCTACAGCTAATTAGCATAAACTAGTTGCTGCTGCGCTGTTGTGGATGGACGGCTGAACCGAACCACCGGAACCGACAGCGCCTCACCACAGCCAAAGCAACACCGGGTCCGGCCTCAGTTTGTAGGGATCTCATCACCGTCCGCCTGCCGAGGAGATGGGGGACAAGGCGGGCACCAGGTAGGACGGCTAGCCGCTGTTAGCTTCGCTTCTCACGCACTCAGCTAACGCTAGCAGCCGAGCTGCTGGTCCGGACGGGTGGGGGGGACATTTTCACAAGCCGAGATGCTGCTGCAGACATCTCTGAACACCCGAATCGGCTGACCCCGGTYCGTGTTTTCATCCCCCGGCCGGAGACACCGAGCTGCTCCGCGGGAGGCGAGCTTAGCCCAGCAGGGTGGGGCTAGCTGGCCGCGGCGCATCTCCAGGACGGCTCGGTGCTCCGGGTTCGGTTCTGCGGGTCTGTGGTTCTGTATCACCACGAGCCCAACACGGTGCTTATACATGGGGCTGGTTGTTTTTGTGTTCTGGMCCGGAACCCCCCGTGAAAACACGGACGCTGGTGGGCGGACTGGACCCATGCAGGGTTTCTGGGTTTAACGGGGTTTAAAACACGGAACCTGCAGAAATGTGTCATTTTTATCAAACCCTGAACGTCACGGTGCAAACATGCATCAGTTCTGATCAGATTAATCTGTGACTGGTGTTTTCTGAGCCCTGCAGCCTGCAGCCTGCTCCTCCACAGCTTCCATGGAAATAAACATGTTTCTGCCCAAAAAGCAGGAAACGCTTTATTATGAACTTCCTGCAGAGACACACACACATCATGGCTCCTGTCTGCTCTGGTCTCTTCACAGCCTGAATTTAAAGCCTTTATTTCCTCATAAACACTAAAAGTTMATTTGTTTCAGGGCAGATTTCCCTGTTCAAACAGGTGTGTCTCACCTGGAATATGGAAATAGAGCTGCTTTGTGTAAAGTCCTGCTGGAAACCTAAAGGAACAGATTGATTCAGCTGATATTTGTTGCATTTTGCTTGTTTATTTTATTTCTGAAAGGTCCCAGCTGGTCCAATCAGAGCTGAGATCAGCTGTAAAACAAAACTTTACAAAAATACTGAAGTAAATAAAATGTTCAGTTTATTCCCTCAGATTATTCACAACTTTTAATCTCCTTTATCCTGTTAAAGCTCAGCTTTCACGGAGCAGTCCCTGATAGGTAAAACATTTTGATTGACAGCTGTCAGAGCCAATCAGGACTTCCTGTGGTGTTCACAGAGAACTGCTGAAAAAACCTTCAGTTTGTGGACCAGGACTGGGTCAGGCGTCCGGACCAGGACTGGGTCAGGCGTCCGGACCAGGACTGGCTCAGGCGTCCGGACCAGGACTGGGTCAGGTTCTAGCACCAGACATGCTCCCAGAAAACCGGAGCTTTCGGTTCAAACATCTGGTCCTCGGTCCCAGAAACGTTTGGGCTTATTCGGACCAGAACTAAACAGAGTCCTGATGGTTCTGGGTCGGGAAGCGGGTGCAGAGAGTACCAGCGGGACCAATGGAGGTGAGGCAGAACCAGTAGATGCAGAGCTGTTTTCCATCATATCAGATTAACCCTTTCCTGTCAGGATCCTCTGAGTCTGCAACATTACTCAGATGATGACGTCATGACTCTGGAGGCTTCTGATTGGTTAGTTTTTACCTGGAGGCGCGCCTTAAACGCTGCTTCTTGATTTGACGACACTGGAAAGTAAAAAGTCGTTGACATGAAGCTCCTCCTGCTCCTCAGGAACCAGCAGCTCCTGTGCTCCTCAGATGAGCCGGAGTCTGAAGTGGACCGGACCTAAACCATCAGGTCTCAGACCTCCTGAGCAGAGGGTCTGACAGATTTACCTGTTTAATGGTTCATAAATGGAACGAGGACGACTGCGTGCTCTCAGGCTGTGAAGTACGGAGGTGGCAGCGTCATGGTGTGGGCTGTTTGACATCAGGAGGGTCTAAAACCTCAAACAGACCTGATGAGGATTTAGGTTTATTGATGAGGTGTTACTAATCTTCCAACAACAATATTTATACAACTCATAAGATATACACAAGATTAATCATTTTACAAAATTACAAACATAAGCCTTGTTAAAAACAAAACAAATAACGACAAAATAAGGTTTAATACCAATAAGATTTCAGTGCTCTTTGAAAAGAAAAGTATTTTAAAAAATGTGATTTTAGGTCATTTATTACATTTCTACTGATTTTTGTAACGTTTGTTTTAGCACGATTTATATTTAATTTTGTTTCACAAGAGTATCTAATGTACCTGATCAGAGTAAATAAGCTTTTTCCTGTTAGTAWAACTTTGTTTATAAATGTAAGTAAATTATACTGCACCCTAACCTTCAGTAAAATACGCTGCATGTCTATAATGCTGCCATGAAATGGACATCTTAAAGTGATCCATTAGTTGTAATGTTAAACTTTATTTGATAAACATTTATTTTAACTGTAAGCTGTTTTTAGTTTTGTAAAGTTTAAAAATATATTTTAACACGGACGGGTCCATTTTATTTGCACACAAAGCATTCTGGGTAAATGATGACGTGGATAGG